TGGGATAGTTATAGCAGCTAAGGAGCTCGATGTCTCTCGAATGTCTTAATTACATTGCTCTTATTTTTTGTTTCCGAAGACCGTGTATTGATTTTTGAGGAATTATTTCTCTTTTTACCTTTTTTCCCTTTGCTAGTATATATTAATTGTAAACATAAATTGGTTCCACTTTGACATTTTCATACACGAGTAAATGTACTGTGATCATGTTCATCTTCCCCCAGCCTCCTCTCTTCTCCTCCTCCTCACTCTCATTCTTCCTTCCTGCTTACAAATAATTTCTCCTCTGTTTTCAAGTCCTTAAAAAAAAAAATCTAGATTCTGCATATGAGCAAAACCATGTAATGTTTGTCTTTAATAATTGTGCAGCTCACTTAACAGGATCTCCAATTGCATGCATTTCTTTTAAATGACTTTCTACCAATCTTAGTTCCCTCTCCCTCCCCATCTCCCACCCCACCCCCCACCTTCCACCCACCCACCCCCATCCACTCCTCAGAGAGGGTAAGGCTCCCCATGGGTAGTCAACAAAGTCTGATACATCACTTTGGGGCAGAGCCAAGGACCTCCCTGCTGGCTGAGCAAGGTATCCTTCCAAAAAGAAAGGGCTCCAAAAAGCCAGTTCAAGCACTAGGGATAAATCCTGCTCCCACTGCCAGTGACCCCACAGACTGCCCCAGCCACACAACTGTCACCCACGTTCAGAGGGCCTAGTTTAGGCCTATTCGGGTTCCCCTGCTGTCAGTCCAGAGTCAGTGAGCTCCCACCAGCTCAGGTCAGCTGTTTCTCTGGGTTTCCCCATCATGGTCTTGAACCCTTTGCTCCTATTATCGCTCCTCCTCCCTCTCTTCGACTGGACTCTTGGAGCTCAGCCCAGTGCTAGCTGAGGATCTCTGCATCAGTTGCGGGATGAAGTTTCTGTGAGGACAATTAAGGAAGAAGTGTCTGTTACAGTAACTGATTGCGGCTGCAGTCTGCCTTGACAGGGTGGGCATGCTAGGAGGAGCTGCTTGGGGCTACGACTGCAGGACCATGGGTGTGCTTGCTCGCATGTGAAGGATGGAGAAGGAGAGACTGAACATGAAGGTGGACCAGGCTGCAAACCCCACGGCCTCCCCTTGATGTCTTCCTTCCTACAGCTAGAACCCATCTCCCAAAGATTCCACAGCCTCTAAAGACATCACTATCAGCTGTTGCCGGACTGCTCACGTTCAAACCACAACAGCTGGCCACTCAGTACTCGGAGCCCAGGCTCCGGAATAGCAGAGCAATAAATCCCATCTCAACGTTCTCTTCTATAAGTAAAGGATAGCAAACCCCATCACCTGCCTGCATCAGGGGGGGTGAAGAGAATTAAACAAGCAACTGTAGGCAGAACTACGTAAAGCTGATATAAGAAATAGCCACGTGGCATAGAAGCCTTCAAGAAGCAGCGGTTATAATGTGATGCTACGGCGATATGGTGTGTTTGTGTAGTGTATAGTCGCACATATGCGTGCATGTATGGAGGCCATAGGAGGACACTCACTGTGTTGCTCTATGACTGTCTGCTTTACTCCCTTGAGGAACGGGCTCTCTCACTGAACCTGGAGTTTACCTTTTTCAGCAACATTGGTGGCCAGCAAGCTCCAGCAAAGCCTCCTGTCTCTCTTCCAACCCTTAGCTCTGGAATTCTAAAGCCACAGCCTCCTACATTTTATGGAGATGGTGGGGATTTGAACTCAAGTCCTTATACACTAGGCTCTCTCTCTCTCTCTCTCTATCTCTCTCTCTCCATCCTGTTTTCTATTTCTCAAAGAGGTACAGATACAGACATTTCCACACTGGTGTTTTTTAAAGTCTAACACAGGGTCAGATAAATACGGCCTTTGGGTCAAATCTAGCCTACCACTTATTTGTAGATAGTTTTAAAATTAATTTAATCAACTCCAGTTATATTAATTATTTACTATATTGTCTGTGACTGCTCTGGCACCATAGCATCGGTTGTGTGACTGACAGAGATTATATTACTTAGCCTTTTATGAAAAAGTGTTTTGAGAAAAAAAATCAAAGTTTTCACAATTGTCCGAAAGACCAGTGAGAGACAGTGTGGCCTACTATTGGGGTTTGCACCCACAGAGTGTTGCTTCTGCTCCCTCTGTTTTGCCTTTAAGCAAGTCACATTTACTTCCCACAATGCAAATTCTTCATTCATAAAGATAAGGAAGTGCACACATAAGAAGGTAATCAGTAAGAAGCATGAAAGCACTCGGCCAAGCCTAAGTTGCTGCACACAGGTGCAGCATCAAATGCCCAGGTTACCACATCTGCTCCGTTCTTGCCCCTTCCGGGCGACGGCTCTGTGGCAGGGTCTACTCTCACGTCCCTTCCCAGTCTGGATCTGGGCCTAGGCCAATGCTGTGGGTTTCTTTAGCTGGTAATAGACAATTTGATCCTAATTTAGAGTCTTTAGAATAATTAATTTGGTTTTGGGATACAAGGAACATGTGATTAAGTAATTACATTCCTTTCTCTCTGAAGGGTCATGGTGAAAAGGCAGTGCCATCTAGCCAATGGCATCGAAGCTCCACTCTTGGGCGATAAAGGCCCTTTGCCAGTTGGCCTCATTAAGTCCTTGACATGAGCTCCCCTGATTTGTTATTAAACTGTGCCCAGTCCTCAACAATTTCACATTTCTATCCCAGGGCTTGGGAGTCACACCTTCACGGCAGCCCTCTGCTGGGTTTAGACTCTTTATTGTACAGAATTTCTCCTGTGTCTAATCCCTTATCTACCACAATTACTGCCTTACAGAAAAAAAAAATAATTCCATAATTGCTGTTTTCTTTTTTTCCCCATGAAACATTAAAATCCTGATCTCTTTCCTTAGCACATATCAAGTCGAATAGGAAATTCAGTTCTGTCTACAAAGGGACGGACTTGCTCTTTCATATCCAGCATCTCCTTCCTGTCTTCTGGATCGTGCACTGGAGGCTCCGGCATTAAAGCCTTGTGGTTTCAGAGAATAACAAGCATGGAGCTAAGGCCTGGGGGGAAACTCTCAGTGATGGTGTGAGACGCGGGCGCCCACAGCAGATGTGGAGCATGCAGTCCGTACAAGTGCCACACGCAGAGTCTTCCTCCCTCCCTGACCTCGGCTGTCTTAAGTTTTCTTTAGACTCTGGCAAGCAAGAGGTTGATTCTCTGTGTGCTTGTTGCAAATTGTGATTTTTGAGACATCATAAACTCAATTACATTCATATACTAAATTACAGACTCTTGGTTCTGTTCTACCAATGAATCTGGTTAGGTACAGGACACTTGATTAATTGTCTAACAAGTGCTGAGAATAACTTGCAAATAGCTGATAAATACTAAAACTTTGCCTATGAAATATATTTACTTTAAAAGACATGTATAAATTTTTCTTTAAAAGAAAACAAGAACAAGACGGCATTCTGCCAGATCTCCCTCACCTGTGTGCTCAAGCTCCTAAGGGCCAAGCTTCAGGGCTGGGAGCACAGTTTAGGAGGCCAGGAGCTCGTCATCCAGCACACACAAGGCGTGTGCTTCATCTTAGCACCAGAAAGAGAAGAAAGTTGAAAAGGAGATGTACCAGGGCTCCACTGTCTCCAAAGGCTTGGCGAGTTTTAGCTTAGCAGACAGCACACAGCAAAGAACACTCGTACGGTACAAAAATGGAGACCCAACCTTGATATACGCACATCTCATCCATCTACCATCGCTAAAGCTGCGGCTTTTGGCTGAAAATTCGAAGAAAGCAACTAACAAATCGACATTAGAGAAACAAGGAAATGTACTTCTTCCCTGTCTTTCCTTTAACTGATATGGAAGGCTTCTTAGGAAATATCAGTTAATATCAGTGTCACAGAGTCATCCATCCAAAGATCATTAGAGCCAGACAGTCCTGCATCCCAATATAATCTACTACTCATTAAAAATGACCCTGGACACACAAAACTTAACTTCCCTGTGCCTCTGATTCATAGAACCCAAGTCAAGATCCTCACAGCTAATTCATAGCACTGCTATTAGGATTAAATGAGATATATTTACATATTCAGAGTGGAGAAGCCAAGTTTTCAAAGGAAGTATATTATTGCCACGGCCAACATTGTGAAGGATCTCTGCATCGCTATCATGAATGAAGCAGGAAGCCATAAAGGGTAGCTTACAGCATGGATATCTTTGTAATAAAATGAAGAGCAACTAACATTAAGGAATTCAATTTAGCTATAGGAAGCATCCGATAATGAATATTGGGCTTGGGAGGCTGATCGCCTTCATGGAGCAGGGCTGGGGACAGGGCAAGGACAGGAGCCACATGATCAGGCTTACATGTTGGCTATTTTTTTTTACCTTTTATTTAGGGTAGGAAACTCTTTAAACCTCAGTCCAATTGATACCACATGAAGAACAGAAATAAACTTGGAGAGTGTTTCTCCATAGGACATAAGCAATATCGATCCTGTTTCAAGAATAAGCAGCATTGGAATACACCCGTAATGTGGGATCTCTTTTCTTTCTTTCTTCTGTGTACAGCTGACTTTTTTAGATGTAAAATTTATGTTTTCTTTTGTTAGCATTAATGGATATCAATTAAATCATGTGCTTTTACCATATCAACTTATGGTAGTACAGTCTGTTAGGCTATTTATGGAACACTTAGATCTTTTAGAGTTCCCAGTAATCTTCCATGTTTGCTGATCTGCTTTTAATTTATCCACGTCCTCTTCTACCAGACTTTGCACACACACACACACACACACACAAAACGGCAGAGACACCCTCTATACAGTGTGTATTTGATACGCTTGATGTTCCTCTTTGACACGTAGAGAGGTTAGCATAAGAAGCGGGTAAATTCCAGGAAGCATTAAAGGGTCTACCCATATACAGATGCGTGAGAACAACACGTTGCATGCTTGATAAATATTTCACCTCTCTCATAAAGAAAGCTTTCTCTCAAGTTCGATTGTTCCTTTTTAAATTATTACCTTAAAGTATTGGAGTTGTTTCTCGGCACTCATTGCTTCCTTCTCTTGTCTCAGACAGGAATTGAAGATGAGAAGCTCCGTATCTCTTAGCCACCTCTTCAGCTCTTTGATCCTGACCTCCAGCTGCCTTACCAGGCTGCCACTCTCAGGAGACAGCAGGTCACGTGGGCCTGATGCATTCGGTCCTGCCACCGGGTCCTGGATCTTCTCTCTTAGGGTTTTCTAATGCATCAGATTAAAAGTAAGAAGAAAAACGAACCCAAATAAAAATAGGTTAGCTGACAAGTCCAAAATACATCGCGGGAGATAACACAAGACCATGCACGGCGACCCCTTCCACCTTATGACTGACATTCGGCTCTGATGCGCTTGCTGGCACCTTTGGGGCTTGCTTATTATTCCCACTATCAACAGATGCACAAGGAACCTTCATTCTTTAGACATGCCTTTCCCGGGAAAGGGATTCAGTCCAAGTCACCACCATCGTGGACAAAAATTCATCTGAAGTCTCATGGCCAAAGTTCTACAGTGAAAAGTGGTCTTACATAAAGTGTTCAAGAGACAGAAGCCTAAATCAGTGTCCAGAGAATTGAGTTCCTTTCTTTTTCTTCTGTGAGGTATAATTCCCCAAATAGTATGAAAGAGCACTCTTAAGGAGGTATTCTGGGGTTCAGCTGTCGCCAGTTTCTCATGACTTGTGGTGCTTCAGCCCCATGGTTCTTCCTGTTTTGCTTTTTTGGATGCAGATAATTTAATAGCGATGTGAAAACCATGCTCAGTTGACTGTGCCATCAGTGAGCTCACGAAGACTAAGCACTGTGGCATAGAGGTGCCTTGCGAGCTGGTTTTCTTTCTCTTTGGTAGAATCACTCTTTACATAATCAATAGAATTTAATCTATAATGATAAATTAAACCTAGAAAAATACGCTTTAAAACACAAATAAAATTAAGTCAACAAACATTCATCTGCTCCACTGTGTTCTGGAAATAGTACCTTTAGGAGCGCACGACAGAACAGAAGAATCGCCTTTTGTGGCAACACCCTCGCATTTTCATGGTGCAAATATTGATAATTTGAAGGCCCTCGGTGGAATCCAGATTTAGCTATTGTTTTTATGCCGTAACAAAAGTAACAGCAGGAGGTGAAATCAATGCCCTTGGAGGCTAGGGTCACAAAAAGGAATTTATTGCCACTTTTTTGTTCTGGAACAGTTTGCAATCATAAATTCTTTATAAACAGAATACTTCAGAGAATGGTCCGTCTTCATAAATATACGACAGAGGACATCAATTTCATTTAATTCACAATTTGTGTCAGCGCAGCAGCTGCCAATGCCTGCCTTGATAGGGTTGTTTAATATGCAATTGAGACAGCGTAATATGCAGCACAGGGGACAAAATTTCACAGATTAAACTGTACGCACCACTGACATTTCATTCTAATGTATTTTCATTCCACACTGTTCACCTTAGATGAAAGAAATATTAAAAACCATATCCCTCTATTTTACTATTGTTAGAAGTTCAAATCCTTGTCTTTAATTTTTTTCATGCCAATTAAAATGTAATCATGCCAATTAAAGCGGGGTGCCTACTGGTGTCAGTGTGGCTCCAGCTTTATCAAACCCATCTCTCCAGCCTACTCTCCCCAAAATTACTGCAAAACTGTACGGTGTTTGAGTGATATATTGTCAAAACGGTAACCGCCTGAGTGACAGCTGACTCACGGAGACTAATTAAATACTCTGTTTTCAATGCAAGGACAATTTCAAAATTTTGGGTGAGGACTTGATATTCAAGACACACTTGAAACAGTTTTCTAAGGAAGCACTGTTATCTATCAAATTAGGAACGATACATTTAAATGAAGTGCAGAGTGCCTATCACTTTATCTCTGAAGCCAATAAAGCTGCTATTCTTCTCTATTTTGTAAACAACCTTTGAAAAATATCATAGAGTAATCACATTTCTCCTGAGAGCAATGAGTGCTGGAGCATTTTGTGGGTGCTGATTTAAACCTCCATATTTTAAAGCAAATAACATTAATTATCATTAAAAGACAAGGTCATAATAAGCAAGAGCAAGAATTTTTAACATTTGTGAGTTACTTCGAACAACTGTAGAGTGTAGAGAATTTAGATGAGAAACTAGGGCTTAAATGTGCAGGTTTTTAATCACTTAGATTAAGCTTGGCATAAACGGCACACTGGCATGTCTCCAAGTCATCACGGCACGTGGAGAGCTCCTAATTCAAAATATTTCTAGAGTATTATTTCTTTAAAAAAAATTAAAGAGGCAGAAAAATAGAGGGCTCTAAAAATTATGCTCTGTAACTGACACCACCCATAGAAGCTGTTAAAACTCATCACTTAGGTAATTGGCAAATTTCGCTTACCCTTGATTTGAAGAGAAGGCAATTTAGGAGAGAAGCTGATGAGCAACTACAGGCTAACTTCTCTCTCCGCTGTGACCCAACCCATAGGACGGGGCGGCCTCTGGGTGACAGAATGTCTATATTGCCTTTTTGCCAGATTCTTGTATTTCTTTGACTGGGAACTACATGAAACTTTACTATTATTATTATTATTATTATTATTATTATTATTATTATTAAAATGCCCTGAAAATTGAGGCACTAAAAGAAGACTGATTTAATTCTGGAATTGAGATTTGGGTCAAATTTGCATATTTGATTTGGTAGCTTTCATCTGACCTGAAAGCTACAGTGGCAGCTCCCCTATTCACTTTAAGGCTACACCCAACGGTTAAACAGCGAATGCCTCTAACATGTACTTTCAGGACAAATTCTGTTAGCATTCATCCGAGCATGACAGCCAGTGTACGTCAGATATACTGTATTAGAGTTGAGTTGCCGCATACCCACAATACACGGCATATTTTACTTACTTTCTTATGTATTAAAGAACCAAAATTATTAAAAATCTGAGAGGAGACAGACTCAGAATAAATTTAAAAACAAACATAAGAGGAAAAGCAATGTTTTCCCCGTAATAACATGAGTAGCTTGTTTGAAATGTAAGGAGTGAATTGAAAGAGAGAGATATTTGTGCCTCAAATTAGAAATCAGACAGATAGAGTACTTCACCACACAAAAAAAATGTACACATAACCTACAAACAGTAATAAAAATGCAAATACCCCAAGCAGCTCCCATTTTTCATTAATTGAATCCACTTTTTCCAGGAGATCATTTGGTAGAGAGACGCCACCTTTCCTCAAAGAGTCCACCTTGCTCAGCAGCTCTGTCTTTTTTGGGTGCCGGATAGACATTTCCACGCTGTACCGCTGAAATGACAACACGGGGAAAACCATTAGGGACGGAGGTGCTCTTATGGAAGCCTTTGAGCAGAGTTTACGCCGCTTTAGGGGAATATAAGGCTTTGTTTTCAAGAAGATTTACTGGGAGGCTGAACCTCCTCACCTTGGGTGAGGCAGTAATGCGGCTGAAGACACTCCAAACATTGCCACCCAGGCCCCACGGACGCTTCTTGCTGTGCTGTTGGCTTCCAAGGTTTTTGTCTTTGTAAACTAAGTTTTCACACACATTTTACATTATTTACTTAAAATACAGCAAATCAGAAAATGCCTGGCCTGGGAGGGTTTGCCAGAGCTACCCCTCTCACTGGACTCTCAGCAGATCTCTCTTGGAGAAGCTCAAAGTGTTGTTTTCCTTCATGAAACACGTCTATCAATCACTTGCTTGGGACGTGACCCTTTCTTCTCCAAGGAGAGCTGCTCTTCAAATGAAGGTAACTGATAGAGGGGAATGCGTGTGCCACAAACAATGCATATCTTTGGCTGTGAGTTATGAAAGGTAAGAAATGGTGCTTCGTCTCTGATACATTTAGACTTTGCGTACAAAAATAAATAAATAAAATGATCTTTGAAAGAAAAACATTATCTTTAAGGATTATGTGGTTTATTTCCTTTAAGGTCCCCAAAGTCTCAATTAATATTTTGCTTTTCTGTTATTTAACAGCTCTGTGAGAGCTTAAGAGAAAAGGCCCACATAAAGAGGGAGCAGGCGCGCTAGATCCTTGGGACAGCTACGGATCTACAATTGCTTATCAATTACCATCAACTGCCCTGAGCGTCCCAGCTGATTCCTGAGCCTTCCTGGTCCCACCAATTCGCACTATATTCTAACTGCCAAGTGAGTCTCTTAAGAGATGTTCCCTGGAGACAGTGGCGAAAGAGTCTCGTGGTGGTGTTCTTCAAATACCTGTATTTGGAAAAGGTCATGGTCAGAACACCTTATGAACAGCTGTAGATAGCTGTCATGTGTATGTGTGGAGAGGTGTGCATCGAAATATACTTGAGTGCAACAATTAGGTTGTGGGGAAAATATTAAATGTATTTTACAATTTAATGCCTATTTCCAAAAAAAAAAATGCCTTTCTTTGAAGCAACGATGTCAGGTGGGCAAGCCCCACGGTAGCCTTGCTCCTTTCCCCTCCGTGAGCATGGCTGGCCCAGCGGAAACCCTATCATTGTCCTAACAAGGACAATGTCTGTGTGGGCAAGGCATTGTCAATCTTCAGGGTTCACAACACTTCCAAGCACTTGGATGGTTTTTAGTGCCCTCGAAAACACTTTGTGTAGTAGGTAGAGGCAGGTAGCCTTACATTATAATAAAATAAACAAGATACACATGAACAGGTTTGACAAATTCCAGGCTACTGAATGGTAAAATTAATATCCAGCAAAAACTAAAGCCATACAAAATGTTATCAACAAATGAATAAATTTCTAAGGGTGGTAATTTGAATGTAATTGACCCCCCCATAATCTCATAGGGAGCAGCACTATTAGGAGATGTGGCTTTGTTGGAGTGGGTATGGCCTTTTGAGTGGGTATGGAGTTTGAGAAAATGTGTCATTTTGGGAGTAGGCGTTGAGGTTTCCTATGCTCAGGGTACTGCCCAGTGTCTCAGTCAACTTCCTGTTGCCTGTCTCAGCTAGTTTTTCAGTATCATATCTACATACACGCCACCATGCTCCTGGCCATGATGATAATGAACTGAATCTATGAAGCTGTAAGTGAGCCATTCCAATTAAATGTTTTTCTTTATAAAAAAAAAAAAAAAAAGAAAAGAAAGAAAACACCTTGTGTAAAACTCTACTAAACTAGGACTGGAGTTAGTTTGAACAAAAAGATGTGATCACCATTTCCTGTGCCAGATCTTCAGCATTCGTGTGCGTATGTTTGCACGCTTTCAGTTTCGTGTTTGAACCTTCCCTTTGCACTAAACACGCACATCATTTGTATTTTGTAAACTTCTCCAAATGTTAGGCGTTCGTGGATCAAAGAACAAAATGTTTTCGGTGAGGTGATTTAAAGCATTTTATACTATTAATGAATGTTGATCAGGGTGTCAGAGTACCCGAAATTACATGAATATGCATATTGGGGAAAATCAAGGGTTGCTGGAAAAGGCTTTCCGAATCTGGACTGCGAAACCTGGGGAATTCTGATTGCTGTCTAACTGCGGACAATTACCGGGATCGTGTCACGCCGTTACAGAGAACACACTGTCCACTCGGGTCTTCTCAACTCAACACTCAACAAGTATTCCAGAAACCTCCGTGGTATGTTATTTGTCAGAGTGATGACTGGTGGAGAGGCTTTATGCAATCAGATTCCCATGTAAGATTTACATAACTAATTAGGTAAGACTGACAGAATGTGGCGGGGGGGGGGGTGCTTATTCCAGCCAGGCAGAGGACTATTATTCAAATCTTCCCTTATGTCATGTGTATTCATCAACAGAGAGAGTCTTCCAGTGGCGCCTTCTGGGAGTGGCTTCTACTGTGGATTGACTTTTCTTGTGGCAAATTCGCCCTCCATCTTTTCCAGCTTTGAATATCTCTTCCAACACAAGTTAGTTAAAAAAAAAGGGGGGGGCAGTTTATCATCTCATGGAAATTAAAACCTTGCGATAATGAAAATACAAAGAAAGTAATGAGTATGATTTTAGACATAAGGAAATAATTTTTTCCTACGAAATGTGGTATGAGTAGTTATGGCGATAGCTACCACGATGGTTATGAGATTTAAAAATCCTTGTTATCACGCATGCTCTCCTTGTCACTGGGTAGTCTACTGCACAAACAGCCGATGGAAAAGTGATCAGTAGGCAATGCCTTCAAACCAGAAAAGCTAAGAGAACCCAGCTAATTGTTAGATATATTGACCTGGGAATGAATGGAGAGCACCGGAATGTCCTGTAATTTAAGGTGAAAGTATTTGGGTTTTGAGATGCTGGGAAGGTTGACTCTAATATGATTGAAGGCCTTGAGGCTGTGTACATAATGACGCCAGGACCGTTGCGTTTTTGTTTCCTCCTCGATACATTTGCTCTTCTCTCACCATCATCTTTTGAGAAGCATCAGATGGGGAGAACCAACCATCAGCTCTATCTCCTCTTGCTCCCCTATCAAGTGGGCTACTCTATCCTGTGGTGAAACGATAATTTAATCTTCATATTCATTTCACCCACAGCAGTAAAAGAGCAGAAGCTGCCCCATTATTCCCATAGTCTGGGGGATGCTATCATACAGACCAGTTTTCAATAGCCAAAAACGAGATTAGCAACGTTCAAGTCAGCTGGCTTTTCTTGAGTGCTGAGGTAAATAAGCAGCCAGTATTTGACTTCCCACAGCACCTGCTGTGGGCCTCACTGTCTAGTCAAAAATAAAATATACTTCATTCAAAGAGCATATTTACATTATTAAGTGTATTTGCTTGGCCAATTCAATTTGGGCTAATGAATCCTCTTAATAGATTTGTGAATGACCTAAATTAAAGACACAGGCTACTAGTGCCCTGGAAGCTATTTCTTCGGGTATAAAAGAAAAGTTAAAGAAAATACAGAGTTACTACTAGTCCATTGTCTTAACTAAGAACTAAAACTGAAATTCTGATTTACAGTTTATATTTTAAAAGCACAAATGCTGAAGCTAAATTATAAAAACAAAGCCAGTAAAACCAGGGATTTGTGAAATAAATACATCTAGTAACAAATACAGACTTGATTGAGATAACTTTTTTTGACGCTCACGCCAGGCTTCCCCCCCACCCCCCAACATCTTTCCCCCTTTTCCTTTCTTCTTTTTTTCTTTTCTTTTTTCATTTTCCTTTTCTTTTTTCTCTCTCTTTTTTTATTTTCTTTTCTTTTCTTTTTTTTTTTTGTTAAAAATCACACCGAAAATTCTGCCCAAATGGAGAGTGGAACAATGCCTTGAAACAGTGTTAATTGTCACCATGGAAACCAGAAGAATAAGCCATTTTGAAACTGGTATAGAAGGCACACATTGAGAAACTCAAGCATTTTTCTGCCCCCCTCAATGTTAAAGAACAAGATGCCTTGTCACAGTGAGGTCAGAGAAAGAAAGCATCCTGAAAGGGAGTAGATACTCAATGTCTAGTAAATAAATAATAATAATAATAATAAGCCAGATACAGCTAATGCTGTAAAAGACTCTACCCGGCAAATCTTTTTGAAAGAGAAAGATCGCCAAAAGATGGTTCGGACTGGGTGGAGGGGAATGGCTCCCACCTAGCAAAACTTCAGGGCTACTTTATGTGAACCTTGCCCCCAAAGCTCCCTGGGAATTCTGCTGTTGTAATAAAACTTCAGAAGAGGGGAGAAAAAAGGCAGCATGATGGAATTCAAAATAATGCCCTAAAAGCACACAGAGAGATTAAGACATTCTTTGTAAGACTTTTGTGTGGTGCTTCTGGTGCTCACGCTGAAAAGGGACCAGACATTGCTAAACTGAGAGTGAAGCTTTGGCCACAAGAAACACAAGAATTAAAGCAAACAATTTTCTGATTAAAGAATATGGCTGTCCAATTCTGAGTCCTTGGGGCCATGCAATGTATCGTTCTTAACCGGGCATCAGCTGACTTTACGTTACAAAGAGTTAAGACAGGGACAATTATCTAGTTATAAAAACAACACATTTGAATCTTTACCCATGCAAATTAATATCTCAAATACCTATAGATTTGTCGTGATTATTCCCCTGCCCTATAACAGGCAGAAAAGGAAAACACAAGAACATGGCAAAATATATCTTAGCTTATCAATAAGAAAGTGTATGCAAGAACAAGGAACACACCCAACCCAAACGTCTACAAAATAATATGTAAAAATACGTATTTTGCACACAAATGCAAGGACATGTCTGTGACTCTCACACTGGATTCTCTAGCTAGTGTTTGCCCTCCTCATTTGAGACTTCATTGTGGCCCCTCAGCTAGTCCATGCCTAATGCTATTCA